CCTTATGTTCTAGAATTTGAGGTTAAGATATAATTTATTATTATTATTTTGAATAATCAATCAAGAACCCAGCTATATTTAGCTGTCCCATTTGTTAACCCCTACTTAAACAAGTCTCTCTCTCTCGCTCTACAAAGCCCTCTTAACTAACTCCAGGGCTATATTAGTCTTTTCGGCTTTTCACCGTCTTTCCCAAATCCCAACGCCTGCGCTCAGGTCTCTCTCTCTCTCTTTCTCTCTATAGTCACAATTTTCTTGAATTCATTCGTCTCTTGAGCTCAAATGGCTATAATATGCGCTTAAAGAGAGTGTTTTAGGCTTTTATCGAGAGAATTTAAATTACAGGCATGGAGCCGCTGATTCTGGAGATCAATCTCATCTCAGCCCAGGGATTGAAGCCCCTTTCCGCTAACCTGCGCCGGCTTCAAACCTACGCCGTCACCTGGATCCACCCGGAGAAGAAGCTCCGGACCCGCGTCGACTCCCTCGGCGGCGAAAACCCCTCCTGGAACGACAAGTTCCTCTTCCGAGTCACCGAAGAATTCGCGTACGGCGACACCTCCGCCGTAGCTGTCGAGATCTTCGCCGTCGGCTACATCAAGGACTTCCTGATCGGCACCGTCCGATTCCTCCTCAGCACGTGCCTCAAGCGATCCGCGCCGCACGCGGGGGCGCACGCGGGGACGCCGGCGTTCACCGCCGTCCAGATCCGCCGCCCATCCGGCAGGTTCCAGGGCGTGCTCAACATAGCCGCGGCGGCGTACCACTCCTCGCAGTACCCGGCCCTGGAGAGGGAGGCGGCGGTTAGCTTCCGCGATCTGGTGGAGAAGAACGAGCGCAGGCTGCGGCGGCTGAGCCGCGGCGGGTCGAGGCGGAGCCAGCGGTCCTCCGGCGGGGAGTCCTGCGACTATTCCGACGGCACAGACTCGACGTCCTCGTCCTCGTCCGCGGCCTCGACGGCGCTGAAGGAGTGGAACTGCGTCCGGGAATTGGCGGGAAATAGAAAGGGGCAGAAATCATCCGACGGCGGTGGGTTGCTCTGCGGGCTGAAGATGCAGAGGAGGATGTCATTCTGCCCGTCGGATCAGAATCTCGCGTTCTGGGCAGATTCTTTCCATGAGAAAGATTGATCAATGGTCAAGATTCGTGTATCAGCAGGGTTACAAATCGACGGCTGAGAATTATCCCTTTTTTTCTTTCTACCTCCTTTCTATTTTTCTGGTTTTTGCTTTGCTCTTTATTAGAATTGGAATCAATTATTAGTGTTCTTAAATATTGCTTGAGTTTCAGATTTTGATAATTTGGTTCAAATTTTCAGTTAGCTAATGAGCCTATGACATATCCTGTTAAAAAATGTTTTTGCTTTTACATTTGTTACTTTGGTGGCCTATAAGATCATCTTTGTATTTCAGGGAAAGGCTGGATTTTTTTTTCTTTTTCTTTTTCTTTTTTTTTTTTTTTAAACGGTAGATTAATATGATGACGAGCATGACATTTGAGCATGTTATTTAGATTTTGACATTTGGATTTTATGGTTTTAATGTAGAACGTGATGCGAAATGAGAAAAGTATGAGATGTTCTCTCGAATAAAATACGATAATTTGATAAAAACTCAATAATCTCCTCAGTCTTACAGAACCCACTGTTTTAATAAACTAAGAGTCCAATCTAGGAAGTATAGTGCAAGATATTTATTTAAATAACCATATGAAATAGTAGAATAATAAAAGATAGAGTAAAAATAAACGAGCTACATCCGAAGCCTGTCGTATTTCTCCAGAAATGCAATAGCGGTCTCGTCTCCATCATCTTCCCCCTGTTGGGAAGAATTCGCCCTCGAATCCGGTTCGATCTTGTCGTCATCCGAGTTGTCACCCGTAAATGGAACCAAATGTTTGACGTTAAAAACGTCAGACGTGTGCACATGCGAAGGAAGACGTAGGCGATACACATTGGGGTTTATCTTCTCAACCACCTCGACTGGCCCAATCTTTCTAGCAGATAACTTATTGTACTCATGGGCCGTAAACTGATCTTTTGTCAAAATCGCCCAAACAAAGTCACCTACCTCGAATTCCACGTGGCAACGCCGGGTGTCCGCTAGAGCCTTATATGCCGTCGTAGTGGCCTCCAGTCGTGCCTTAGCCGCAGCATGCGTGGCCTGCAAGTCCGTGATAAGGTCGGCTGCTCGTCGCTCCACGTCCGCCGTGGAAGGCAGCGCCAATAAGTCGAAAGGACCGCGCGGTTGAACGGCGTAGACAATCTGAAACGGCGAGAAGCCAGTGGCCCGGCTCACTACTGAATTATGCGCGAACTCGGCCTAGCTAAGCCTCTGGTCCCAACTGCGAAGGTTATCGCCATGTAAGCAACGAAGCAAGTTCCCCAAGGACCGGTTCACCACCTCCGTCTGCCCGTCCGTTTGGGGATGATAAGCACTGCTAAAATCCAAACGCGTGTTCGCCAAACGCCACAAACTCCTCCAGAAATGGCTAAGAAAACGCGTATCACGGTCCGAAACAATCGAAGACGGAAGGCCATGCAAGCGATAAATCTCGCGAAAGAACAAATGGGCCACGTGAAGTGCATCCGCGGTGCGCTTGCATGGGACGAAGTGTACCATTTTCGAGAAACGATCCACAACGACAAATATAGAATCAAATCCACGTTGTGTACGTGGCAAGCCCAGCACGAAATCCATACTTACCGCACACCAAGGCCGGGAGGGAATGAGAAGAGGCCGGTACAATCCGGCATTAGAGGCCACGCCCTTCGAGACATGGCACACTCGACAATGTCCCACATAACGAGCGACATCCTTCCGAAGTGACGGCAAAAAATAAGAACGACCAACCAAATCTACGGACCGATCGCGTCCCACATGACCGGCGTCGTGAAGCTCCGCAATAAGTCGATGCCGGAGGCTGCATCGGGGATGCAAAGGCGGAGGCCGCGAAAAAAGAACCCGTCGATCAAAGTATAGTCCTCAAACGAGCACGTCTCGAGGCGACGAACTATCGGGCCAAAGAAAGCATCGTCGACATACACCTCACGTAACATATCAAACCCAACGACATCGGCTCGCATATCCGTCAAGAGTAATGTGCGACGGCTCAAGGCATCCGCGACCTTGTTCGACACTCTCGACCGATGTCGCAAAACAAACGTGAATTGCTGCAAGAAAGCCGTCCAGGACGCTTGCCGGGCGGAAATGTTGTCCTGTGTTGCCAAATATCACAAGGCCTCATGGTCCGTGTACAAGATAAACTCGCGATGAAATAAATAATGACGCCAGTGCGAACAACACAAACCAGCGCGTAGAATTCCACATCATAGGTACTGTACCGAATGCGAGGACCCGACAACTTCTCGCTAAAAAAGAGACCGGACGACCGTCCTGGCTGAGAACTGTGCCAATCCCCACCTTGGAAGCATCGCACGAAAGCTCAAAAGCTTTACAAAAATCAGGCAACACGATTACTGGTGCAGAAGTCAATTTGTCCTTAATGAGGGCAAAAGCAGCCTCCGCTTCCGGAGTCCAAATGAAAGATTTGCTGGTAAGGCAGTTCGTGATAGGCGCCGTGATTGAGCTAAAGTGGGAAATAAATCGACGATAGAACGAGGCAAGACCATGAAAGCTCCGCGCCTCAGTGAAAGAAGTCGGGGTCGGCCAATCCCGAATAGCCGACACTTTGCTGTCATCCATCCGTATACCATCCGCCACAATGACGAATTCCAAAAACAGAAAAGAATCCACCATGAAGGAACATTTATGAGAAGCAACAAAAAAGGACTCTTGGCGTAGGACAAGAAGGACTGATCGAATATGTAACAAATGCTTGTCCACCTAATGGCTGTAAATAAGAATGTCGTCGAAATAAACGATGACACACTGCCCGATAAAGTCACGAAGGGCCTGATTCATTACACGCATGAAGGTACTCGGGGCATTAGAAAGCCCAAAACGGCATCACCATCCACTCGAACAGCCCCTCACGAATTTTGAATGCCGTCTTCCACTCGTCCCCAGGTCGAATTTGAATCTGATGGTAGCCCCTACGGAGATCCAATTTCGTGAAAACGGTAGCACCATGCAGCTGATCAAGTTAATCATCGAGCCGTGGGATCGGAAAGTGATAGCGAACCGTAATCTTGTTAATTGCCCGACTATCAACACACATCCGCCAAGAAGAATTCTTCTTCGGAATGAGAAGAGCTGGAACGGCACACGGGCTCAAACTCCTGCGCACGACCCCACGTTGGAGAAGCTCTTCCACCTGACGTCGCAACTCCTCGTGCTCCATAGGGCTCATTCGATAATGCGGTCTATTCGGCAAAGAAGCCCCGGGAACCAAATCAATGTTATGCTTAATGTCGCAAAGCGGTGGCAACCCGGAAGGAATATCATCCAGAAAAACGTCAGCGAACTCCACTAATAAAGGGCGGATGGCCGTAGCCACTGCTTACTCGACACTAGTGTCCACGCCCATGAGCAACAAAATCACCGGAGAGTCACGCATGGCTGCTGTAAAGTCGGCGCGAGAGAGGACAAGATCTGAAGGAGGTGGACTCGGTTGTGAACGAAGGACTGGCTGGGTGGGGAGTAAAATTATCTTAACACCGCCGAAAGAAAATGAATAAGTATTCTGGCGCCCGTCGTGAGTGGCTGATCTATCAAATTGCCACGGTCGGCCCAATAACAAGTGACATGCATCCATCGGGACCACATCACACCATACCTGGTCCCGATATTTAGACCCCACCGAAAAAGACACTAGAACGCGACGGTCAACTTTGACAGCGGGCCCCTTCTGAATCCACGCAAGAGTATACGACTGTGGATGATGCTCTGTGGAAAGGTTCAACTTGTCCACTGCTTCCTGAGATATCACATTTTCACAAGAACCGGAGTTAATAATAAAACGACATATCTTATTATCTATCGTGCAAGTAGACTCAAACAGATGATGTTGTTCCACAGGAGTATCTGTCGACCCACGTGGCACCAGAAAAGTTCGCCGTATAACTAGGGCCGTACCTACATCACCTGCCACATATTCCTTGACATCACCCTGCTCAACATCATAAATCGGGGGTCCCTCATACCCCTCGGCCGCAACAAAATCATTCGCCTCGTCAGAAAACAATGCCCGCATATCGGCCACCCTCGGGTAAACCGATTGGCGGTGTCCTAATTCACCGCAGCCGAAACACCTCAGGCCCACGACCGCACGCGTAGCTGCCGCTGAGGGCTGCTGTCCGCCAACTCCTTCTGTTCGCTGGCCACTGCCGCTTGCTGTTGGCAGATGCCCCGTCACCGTGCTCTGCCCAAAACTCCTAGTCGCTGCCTGAGATGAACGCAAGGGCTGTGGAGCCGAACCCATAACTGCTCCATGTCGTGAGGATGAAGCAAACGTGGGGCTGGCTTTGTTTGATAATTGAACCTCAACAAGAATAGCTCGTTGGTGAGAATCAAACACCGATCCCGGTCGAAACATATTTAACATATCGTGAATTCCTGCACGTAAACTGCCTATGTACCGCGACACCAATTAATTCTTTGTCTCCCGTAAATCCACCTGAGTCAAGAGCCGATGGAATTCCATCGTATACTCATTCACCGAGCGCGACCCCTGACGCAAATTTTGCAACTGTTGATAAACAAGACTATCATAGTTGTAAGGCACAAACTCACGTTCCACAAGCTCGCGAAATTTTATCCACGAAGAAAGTGGTGGTTTCCCTTGACGATGCCGCAAGCTACTGAAATTCATCCACCAATCTGCCGCTCGACCCCAAAAGCGTGTGGCGACTAAAGCGACCCGCCTCTCCTCCAGGACTTTCTTAAATACGAGGGCGGCTTCAACCGAAGCCCACCAATCGATACATTCCGACCCATCAACCCCGCCGTCGAACTCGGGTATCTCAATACGAAACCCTTGCTCCCAACGCGACTCATCGCCCCCTTCTATCGGGCGCCTGCTGTCACGCCGATTCGGTACCACATGCTCATATCTCTCCCGATCACGAAACCCTCGCCATCCTTGCTGGTCGAAGTCGTGGTCGTCATAATCCTCAAACTGATGACCGCCGCCACCAAGCCCTAGACGAACAGGCCGCCAATCATCGTCC